AATCATTCTAAGCAACATATGGCAATCTGCGGTCTTTCCTTGCACTTAGGTGGCACGGAAAGCCGTAAAAATCTTGAACAAAAGCTCATCTTTCAAACCGGCAGTCTAAATCCCACAGGGATCAATGAACGCTTTTCATTCCACTAATTTATTCATGTTTTTCTCGTTGCCATGCACCCACCAATAACGTAGCTCCATTTTCTGCCTTTAAAAGCACACACAACCCACAATTCCTCTATTCGCTCCGACGAAGGGCTAACGCTCGAAACGTCAGCTTTTGTAATCATTACGGTGGCCAATTTACCATTTCAACTTTGTTGATATATCCAAATTATTTCGTTACTCCCACCGACGCAGCCCCAAACAGTTTCTTTCGAAACTATCAGCCTTTATGTTATGGAAAGATGAATGGGCGAATAAACCAACTTTTTGTTGTCTTTCGTCCTCGTCTTAGCTTGGTCTGTAGAGCCAGAGACATTGCTTAAATTAATCGGTTGGCGCGATGGCGGTTTTCCCGATAAGAAAAAAATTCACTACACGCCCAAGTCACGTTTGAGAGGAGACCAGAACCCCTACGTAAAATATCTCGACGCACAAAAGGGTTCAAAGGGGAGATCATTGTGCAAGATAAGTTAAACTGGCTCTCGGGGCCTAGAAAGGGGCCCGGGAACAACTTGGGCGCGTTGAACATTCAGTTCATGGAGAAGAACAAGCGGTGATTTCATGAAATCGTTAAAACACTCGATCAACCTGGTAGTTTATGGTTCTCTTCCAATTGTACTGCAAAGTAGCTACATTTTCATGGTTTAGCGCTCACTTCATCAAATAAACACTGTTTCTCTTGACTGAGATTTTATTTGAAACCCGAGCTCTGAAAGTTAAGGGAACTGTTTTGATTTTTTTTTCTAAAACTATAGATGTACTTGTTTGCTTGTTTTCAGTAGAGAATCACTTTTTTAACATATAATGATGGGAAATTATTAATTGCAATCGTTTCGTGCAGTAATTCCTTAAGCATAACTTTCAAATGCTGCATGATACCTGCGCAATGTGTCGTTCGACAGATAAAACAAACAAACAAGGGGCAATCACAGACTGAATATGAGTTCCAAAGTAAATTTCAGTGTTTTTCTCGAGGTGAGGAATTGATTAGCTGCCGTTTGTAAACATTTGTTGCTTTAAGTAATTCGTGCTAACTGAAAAGTACTAGAATGAAATCTTTCTGCGCGGGATGAATTCAAACAGGCCTCCCCTGTACAACAGGTGTTTGTAGTTTACTTGTCACAGCCTTAACAGGTATTGTGGGCAGTAGTTAGATCATCATCTATGTATACAAACTTCTTGCATCCGAGAAACCGCGTTAGTTTAAAGCTTTCACTGGCGCGTACAAAATGTCACAAGAATCGCTTCAGCATCATGGAGGTTGTCAAGTCGGCGGCCTTCCTCGCATTCAATGCATGAGCTGTAAGTTGAAGTTAATTACCGTAACAGGAGAGCACGTGTTCTTTTACTTGCTGTGTTTTATTTTTCCTTCAAGAGAGTTCTTTATTCATGTCACTTGCTTGCAGAATATTTTTTTGTTACTCTATCTAAAAGCTTGCGTCTTAATTTGTCCAGTTGGGATAAAGTGTTTGTGTGAAAGTTAGGTCTGTTACGCTTTAGTGATCTCTGGTTAAAAGCTATCGATCCGTTTTCAAACACACCAAACACCAGCCACCACCAAACACCATTCTACTGTTACCAACCTGTTCTTATTGTCTGTTTGTTGACTTTCCGTGTGAACTAGAAATTTATTCCAGTCGAAATAAAGAGTCGGGGCCATGAGAGCGAATCCTAAACCTCGGACTAAAGTAATTAGACGGTACTAGCCTCGGTCTTTCTGCAAGGCGCCAAACTGTACTCAAGAGTTGCTACAGTCATCTTCAACTGTTAACTCAAGCAGTTAACTTTGGTGCAACCAGTAAAATATTAGTCGTCTTCCAGGACGAGTTTAGAATAATGAGTACTCATTCTTGGGATTCTTTAACAACGCAGGCGGGAAAACTTTGCAGGGAAGTTTTGTGGATTGGGTTTGTCGTCTTTCATAAGTAATCTTGGATTGGGAGGGTCATCCATTAAATTTTTTTTTTCTTTTTTTTTCCTCGTTTTATACCAACACAACTCTAGAGGTATTTCGTTTCGTTTAATCATTGGAGTGTCGGTGACTTAGGAAAATCGATTTTTCTAGAAGTCGTAGAATGAGAAAACTTACTGAAATAAAGCCCCATAAAATTGTCTGGAAGTTTTTGATAAGGAAGGGTTAAAAGTGAAGAACCGTTGAAAAAGTGTAATACATAAAACACATCTCTTCCTCGTAGTCTCGTTGCTGGGCTAAAATACTCGAAAAAAACTATAAGTCAACGGAAAGCTTCAATTACTAGCTGCTTAAAAGGAATTTCTTGTGGAAGTCACTGTCACGGCCGCTAAATGCATCAAATTGAAAGGCGTTGTTTAATTTTTTTGGGTGGAGTTCTACCTGTCACTCAGGTTTCGCTCAGCTGTCACTTGTTTACATTTTAGCCAGTCAACCTGACGGAGGAGAACTGGGGATCTGCGGGATCGTCATCACTGTTCTTTGCTATATCCTCGTCGTGGTAACATTTCCATTTTCATTGTTCTTTTGTTTGAAGGTGAGTGCATGTAGTGAATTATGTTAGAGGAACCTAGCAATTTGCTGAACTTCAACATAAGAGATAACGAATTCACGGACAATTCATTTGACTGTTTTTGAACAGATAGTGCTGGAATATGAAAGAGCTGTGATTTTCAGACTTGGGAGAATACTCCCCGGTGGTGCCCGGGGACCAGGTAAGGTTTCCGTTTCATTTGACATTTGACCGAATTGTTTTTTCCAAAAAAAAGCTTGTTTTCACGTGTTTGGGGGTGTCCAAGCCATAATGTTTTGACTGACATGTCAACTTAAATTTTCAGGATTGTTTTTTGTTCTACCTAAGATTGATCAGTACAGCAAAGTGGATTTAAGGACCGTGTCATTTGATGTACCCCCTCAAGAGGTAATCGTTTAGTCAACATTTTCTCTTATGGTAGAATTATAATGTCGGCTGTATAATTTTCTAGGAATAGGAATGGTTGGTTTGTGAAATTTATGGAATCTATTCATATTGAAATTCAAAACGTTAGAGTTTATTTTGGGCCGCTAAGCCATCCGTGAATCAGTCTTTAAAAAATCGTATTCTTTAAATAGTCGTTATTATTTAAACTTAATACAGTTTCTCGTTACATGGTCTAATTTGATTGGCTAGGCTTTGACACGTGACAGTGTTACAGTCACTGTTGACGCAGTGGTGTACTTCAGGATCCAGAATGCAACAGTGTCAGTGACAAACGTCTCTGACGCTCAGGGATCCACCAAACTGCTGGCTCAGACTACCTTAAGAAACATGATTGGTACGAAGAATTTGAGCGAGATCCTGATGGATAGAGAGGGTTTGAGTTCTCAGATGCAGGTTTGCTTATCATTTCATTCCCGTTATTTGCAGCGATCATTTTACTTTCGTTTCCAAATTTTCTTTATTCTAACTTAACAACGGAACCAAAATACATTTTGTTCAGGCCCATAAGCCATAAATGATATTTTCTATCTCATTTATCTACTGAACAGTTGTTCCTGGATGATGCAACTGATCCTTGGGGAGTTCGTGTGGAGAGAGTTGAGATGTAAGTTTAGTTACGATCGAGTTCACTTCCATCTCATTGAAGCAAAGCAATATGCTTGATTGTGATTTTTCGTTTTTCCATAGGCGGCCCAAGCGTACTGTATGTGATTTTGGGGGCCTTTATGTCATTACGGGAATACCTAATATAACAAGATCGAATTTTAAGCGTAAGCGCGGACCGCCGGGCAAACAAAGAAAAAATTATAAAAAAAAATTAGAAAGAAAAATTAGAAAGGATGATAAAAGGGAGGAATATAACGTGTGAAGTCTCCTTATCCTTTGTCCGCAGCTGCTTTGTTTCCAACGGTCGTTTTAACGCTGTTTTGGCGACTCTCTTTGTAACGCTTGTGGTGCTACAAAGAAAACGTCGCCAAAATAGCGTTAAAAGGACAGTAAACGACAAAGCGACTACGGAAAAAAGGTAAGGAGACACAACACGTTATATTTCCAGCATTTATTATCCTTTTTCATTTTTGTTTGTTTGTTTTTTTTGATAATTTTTTTCTTTTTTTAACGACCCACGCTTACGCTTAAAGTTCGATCTTAATCTGTAAGGTATTCCCGTTAATGACCTTAAGACCCCAAAATCCCACACAGTACGCTTGGGGTGCTTGTGGTTCTTCATGGGAAGTGCCATGAAAAAAATGTAATGATAAACAACGAAAGAAACAACATTAAAAGAATAAACATTGATTATGTTTTCCACAGTAAGGACGTCCGCCTTCCAGTCCAGTTACAGCGTGTTATGGCGGCTGAAGCTGACGCAACCAGAGAAGCCAAAGCTAAGGTACAACGTCTATAACGCTTTAGGAAACGAGTTTAGACTCCATCCTCAAATACATTGTATCACACAAACAGCTGAATGTTTGGTTTCTGGTTTCCAGGTTATTGCTGCAGAAGGTGAAATGACGTCATCACGTTCTCTAAAGCAGGCCGCTGACATAATGGCGGAGACACCGTCAGCGATGCAGCTTCGTTATCTTCAGACGCTGAACACCATTTCAGCTGAAAAGAATTCCACCATCATCTTCCCAATCCCTGTGGATTCTATGACGAGTTTTTTCAAGAAGTGAAAGTAACACTGGAAGTGTACGGATAGAAACTTTTACACCTGAAACTTTTGTAAGTCAGTCAGTCGTAACTTTATCAGCACAAGATGTACTTGAAAACTTATGTCCGTGTAACACTATTAAGCAAGCTATTTTGGCCATTTTGCTTAAATAGCAATTTAATTTTGCCTTACAAGGTAGTCGATAACCGTGATAACATGACATCTTTGAGGTAACAATGTAAAGATGGATCTGTGATAAAAAAGACCACAAATATAGAAACTTTTGTGAGACGATATCTTGCGCAAAAGGAATTTAATATGGTTTTCGATACAAGTCAATAAAACCTTTTTTCTTTTAAAATTGACTTTGTAAGCAAGAAGATACGGCAAAGTGTCTTCTTTTTGCAGGTGGAGAGGATTGTCAGAACGTGATCAATTAAAACATTCATCATCGTATTAAAAGTCAGTCAACCCAAGCAGAAAGCTGTTTAAAGGCAAAAGTCTTGTCAATAACTACACCAAACTCTCCATCCAGTTCTGGTAGAGTTGTAATAAACAAAAAATATTATCAATTATAGTTCCAAAAGTTGTTTTTCCTGTATCATCTGTAGATATGAGTTTTTCCTCCATTTTTTTTTCAATAATGTAATTGTGATTTGTTCGGGTACAAAATGTTTTGATAACTAATTTGTTAACGATAATAATGTTACAGATATGGTTGTTAGTTTAATTCTACAATACAGTACATAGTTAGGTAGCAACAAGTAATCTGTAAAAAATTCATTCTAAGCTTCTCGTTTGTTAAGTTTATGAAACCCTCTTTACTATGAATTGCTTCGCTGTATTTTGAAAAACGACTCAATTCTTCTGCTAAAAACTTTTGAATAAAAAAATTGCGAACAACTATGCTAGGGCTTATTTCACAGTGTGATGGTGATTGATGACAGTGTGATACAAGTGCTACGAAAAGTTCAAATGAACCGTAACAAATTATGTACAATGGCTTCTGTCCTTCACCGAACTGAATGTGAAGACTTGTTCAAGCTTTGAATACCTTGGAAATCCACAGGTCGATACGGATGTTAACCGATTCGTTATCATGGATTCCGTACCAAGCCACGTGTAATAAGAGGTGACGTCACTTCCTACTGATTTTGTATAATCGCCGGATTTTGAATAATCGCCCGGTCCAGTTTTTCATATGTAACACTTGTGGCACTTGTAATTGTAGAGAATAGCGGTGACCAACGGATGCTATTTCGTGCAAGTAAGGGGTTGCTAAATGTGTCACGTGATGATGGCCTTCCCCCAAATTTACATGCTCCATGGCCAACGTTTGTCAATGATCTGGGACAGTACTTTGTGACTAAGATAGAGACCATCCAGCTCAAGCTTGACATTGAGTCGTTTGATTCTGTCACGTCTTTATTAGATTCTGTCCCAGTTGACTCTCCGTCTGTGTCTGTGCCGCTGTTCACTGATTTTGAAAACTTGTCCACCAGTGATGTTGCTTCACTTATTCGGCGATCGGCGTTAAAGTCCTGCCCACTGGACCCCATACCCTCACGGTTGGTCAGTAACTGTGATGCTATCTTCGTCCAGTAATTGCAGCCATCATTAATAAGTCTCTTCAAACTGGCCATTTCCCTAGGGACTGGAAGGAAGCTTTGGTCTATCCTGTACTAAAAAAGCCTGGACTTGATGCAGTAAACAAGAACCTTAGACTTGTTAGCAATTTGGCATTCGTGTCGAAGCTCACGGAAAAGGCAGCCTTTGATGGAACTTCTAGTCATATGTCCGCCAACGGTTTATATCCTATCGCGCAGTCGGCCTATCGACCGAACCATAGTACGGATACGGCGTTGCTAAAAGTGAAAAATGACAACCTTCTAAACATGAATAAGCAGCACGTGACACTTTTGGTTTTGCTCGATTTAAGCGCTTCCTTTGATACGGTTGACCACGTCATCCTTCTGAGGACCCTTGGCAGCCTTGGCATCGGGGGAACGGTTATTGAGGGGTACAGGTCGTATCTGTCGGGGCGTGGCCAACGTATACCTGTTCGTGGATGTACTTCCGAGAGGTTTAATCCGGACTGTGGTGTACCGCAGGGCTCCTGCCTCGGACCTTTGCTGTTGTCAATCTACACTAGTTCTCTGCTGAGTATTGTCCAAGACCTCTTGCCTACAGTCCCCTGCTACGCGGATGACAATCAGCTCTATGTATCTTTCAGCCCAGCAGATGAGAATGGTCAGTCTGATGCTATCGCTGCTATGGAGATAATTTGGATATATCAACAAAGTTGAAATGGTAAATTGGCCACCGTAATGATTACAAAAGCTGACGTTTCGAGCGTTAGCCCTTCGTCGGAGCGAATAGAGGAATTGTGGGTTGTGTGTGCTTTTAAAGGCAGAAAATGGAGCTACGTTATTGGTGGGTGCATGGCAACGAGAAAAACATGAATAAATTAGTGGAATGAAAAGCGTTCATTGATCCCTGTGGGATTTAGACTGCCGGTTTGAAAGATGAGCTTTTGTTCAAGATTTTTACGGCTTTCCGTGCCACCTAAGTGCAAGGAAAGACCGCAGATTGCCATATGTTGCTTAGAATGATT